GAATCTGGATCGATTTGACGGTCACGGATGTCCGGTAGTGCTTGAATTTTAATTTTTTTTTTCTACAGATCCAAATAACTTGAAATTTTAAATGTGTGTTCTTCTCATCAAGGAGCACCGAACAACAATATAAAAAAATTATTCGTGAAAAAAAAAATGACCAAAATAACCCCCGAAACTTTTCGAGAGCATTTTGATCAATTTATTTCATGTAAAATATTTTTTTTATATTTTTTGATTCGCCTATTTTTTATGAACACATGTCTAAAATTTCAAGTGATTTGGATTTGTAGAAAAAAAACTAAAATTCAAACACTACCGGACATATATATATATATATATATATATATCAGAACATGTATGTTTGCGTATATCTGCATGTTGTGACTAAAGGGGGAGGAATACCAAATTTTGACCGATCTGCTGTACAACAAATTCCAACATCAAACTCATCAGAAAGTGGATTGAAATTGCTTGTGAGGATAAACAACTGAAACAAGAAAAAACACACAACAGGAGCATTTGACCAAAGTCCCAAAATCCAATTGCTTCAAGGATCAAATCTCAAGAAAGAAGTGAAAAACTGAAAAAGAAACAAAAAGTGCGCTATTTTTAATGAATTTAATTATTTATTTATTTTAGTAACAAAAGAGGGCTATGCGAAAAGTGCAGAATGTTATTACCTCATCCATTCAGAATTGTAGCTCCAATGTGTAGGTGAGTTCAAAGAAACTTAAAAACTTAATCATTTTCCTTGTGCCAGGACATTGGGCTTTCTGTATAACAATGTAAGGAAGTTTTCTAGAGGCTTCCTTATGTCCATATTTATAGAGAGGCTAACCAAGAAGTAGATTGTTTGGCGATGGTGAAGCAAGGCATTTAACTGCAAAATTTAATAGTAAATAGGAATTGGGTGTGGTTTCTTTTTTGCTTGTTAAAGATTTTGGTTTGGTTCTTTTGTTGTTGGTTTGTCAGTAACCAAATAGTGCTGTACAGTTTTATATTGGTGTAATGGCATAGTGCCTAGTGAATTTTCTACAAAAAAAAAAAATCACTAGAAGCTTTAGAGATAAGAGAATCAATGATTGACATGAAAGACGATGTTAAAATGATACAAGACCAATATGAGCTTAGAAAAACTAATGAGAAAATAAAGCACCACGCGCTAGTGGCTAAGGGTTATGCTACATACATGCTTGTGCTTCTTTTTTGGGTGAGTTACGTGCTTCTCCTTCTTAATACAATAGAAAGACAGTGTCATATGACCCGGATTTGGCCTCCATAGCCGTAGTGTTTGAGTAGACCTTCGTCTTGCCGCCAGTTCACTTTCACCTTGACTTCCACCTACCCAACAACACCATGGTTTGAAATTATTTATTATCAAAGTAGAATTTTCTTTATTCAAAAAGAAAATATCAACACCAGAGTTTATTTTGGCATACTCCCATAAGCCATAATAAAAATCAAATAGATTTCCCAAAAAGAATAGAAAGAAAAGAAATGAAAAGCATAAGGTGGTCATGATGCGATCTTAAGTTAAGACAGAAACATCCTTCCCAAATGCATGCAGGTTGAGGAAGATATCTAAGTTCTGAAGCTTAAAGATAGTGGAATTCATAAATGAAGCCAAAATATCATTCTCACAGATTCTGCAACCAAGACTACATAACATCCTTGAGCAAAAGTGCAAATACAATAATTTCATGAAAATATGGAAAGTTATGGAGAAAAAAAGTAGAGAATAATACTTTTGTATTGAAAAATACTGGGTGTTATTATGAAATAATATTCTTTTAATCCATAGTTTTGGAAAGCTTATGTTGTTCATTGAAATGGAGAAGAGAAAATTGCTTAAATATGAGAGTACCGTCTTCCATTGTGTTCTAAGAACAGAAAGAAAGAAGGCCTACACGAAGTGCAAAGCATGCAACACACGCGCATGGGGCCAGGGCCCTTGAGGCGCATTTTGCACTTCGCCATTTGCAAAGGCACCTTATCGCATCCGCATGTATAGATCGGACTCATGACACACAACATTTTTGCACTGCAAGGCACCAAGAGAAGAGAAGAGCAGTTGCTCATTCTGGAGAAGGGTAGTTTGGGAATTCACCGCAGTGGAAACTCCCAAACAAGCACTATGTGCTGTCTGATTGTGCTGATAACTGCCAAATCACCAATAAGAACTGCTCCCACAAGGATGAACAATTTGGAAGCAATTTTGGGTGCAACCATTCACCTTTTGGATCCCAAAAAGCCACCATAAACCATTGTGACTGTTGGGTATCCAGTTGTATGTAAGATGTAAATGATGGGCTATTTTATGACTATCAAAGTCGAGAAATGAACGGTCATTAACTCTTCATCTTTCAAGTGCATCAAACAGTTTGGATGAAGGTGAACGGGCATTTTCTCTGTTTACATATGAGACTTCAGCTTCTCGTTTGATACAAAGTTTTGCAAGCATATCTCGTTACTCTCTATCTTCTTGTGTAAACTCTCCTTAGAATAAAGGCAAACTTTTAATCTGGTTCTACTTGTGCATTCCTACGAGCAAGATAGTGTTCAATCCTCCTTACTTCTCAAGAACAAATTTGCCTGAGAACTTAGATGCACACTACTTTTAATTAGCAAGCGGCAAATATTGTCTAGTGATAGTGTTCCATTATCAACTATATAGCAAGATTAGTTGGCAGAGGATTTAGACAAAAAGAAAGTATCGGCTATTTTGACACATATGCTCCTATAGCAAGACATGTATTATATGAGTATTACTTGTTGTTACCTCCAGTGTGCATCAAATTATTCACCAAATGAATTGAAAATCCCATTCCTAAATGGTAAATTAGATGAATAAAATACATGGAACAATTTAAAGGGTTCATTATGATAGGCCAAGAAAAGAAAGTGTGAAAATTGGTCAAATCTTTTTATGGACTGAAACAGGATCCAAAACAGTGGCATAAGAAATTCAGTAATGTAATATTCTCAAACGGTTTCAATATAAATGAGGCAGACAAATTTGTATAGTAAAGAGATATACTCAATGTGTCATAATTGGTTTATATGTTTATGATATTCTGATTTTTTACTATGACTAGGAAATAATTGAGGAAACAAAAAGGTTTCTCATATCTAACTTTGAAATGAAGGATCTAGGTGAGACTGATGTGATACTTGGCGTCAAAATTGTGGGAAAAGATGTGTTGGTTTTAACACAATCTCAGTACATTGAAAAGATGCTCAATAAGTTTGTGCATAATGTTTGTAAGCTAGCCCTAACACCAATAGATCCTCACATAAAGTTAAAAAATATATGGAGATTCATTTCTCAAATTGAGTATGCAAAGGTAATTGGTAGCTTGATGTATGGAATGAGTTGTGCTAGGCCTGATATTGCATATGCAGGAAACATAGTGTTGGGGGTGATTTTTTGGACACTCAAAATCAAGATAAAGCATATGAAACAAATGATTTGGGATAATCTCAAGATATGAATCGGGTGGTTGTCAAGTGCATACAAGTTTAACAGATGAAGGGACCCTATGAGAGGTCAACAAATTTAATTTCAATTTATATCTGCATAAATACCTCAACTATCATATCAGAGGTCTAATATAATCAGAACTTGCCATCCATGGCCTGATATGCCTTGAAAGTTCTATGATCAGTCACTAAATTCCATAACGGCCGAATCCACTCAGAGATTGTCAAGACATCTTAATATGAGACCAAACTATGGACTAATATTCCCATGGCAATAATATGCATCTCCACATAATATGGAGACGTTTGGATACAAATTTTCAAGTCTTTGGAGACTTTGTCTGTTACAAGGACTTTATTGGCTGGACCATTGAAAACCTCATCATATCCTATCAAATCAAGGTGAAATTTTACAGATACCTATAATTGGCCATTATATGCCTCTAGTCCAAAAATCATCAAAATTGATAGGATAACCTTACCTACCACCGGTAAAGTTATGTTCAACCGACAACCAACCCGAGTATCGGAGAAATGACTTGAAACCATCGGGAAGATCATATTTGACGCACAATAACCCTCCTCCCAAGGTTTTAGTCTTATAGAAGGAGGTTCAGTCCCTATATTATTCCCTCTTATAGTAAAGACCTATGGGTATCATCAGTTAAAACACCACACAGCGACCAGAATGACCTCCGATCAGTAAAATCAAGATGCCCCCCAATCTAGGAGTAGTTTTCTCATGGGACCAAAGCCATTAGAAAACTGACTCGAAGCCCTATCAGCCATGCGAAAGCCAAAACCATGTGAAAGTATATTTGTTGGAAACGCATATGATTCTTCAGGCATCGGAATCGTGGAATCGCATGTGTCAGATGGTTCCTAATCTCGAACTCGCCGTTCGTACAATGAAAACAATCAGAGGATTGATTCCCAATAATCAGAATTGCAATCCAATAAAATAGGAATTGTGATTCTTATTTGTAGGAACCAGTATCCCACCATGTTAGAATCATGTCTCTTACCTTTCAGGAATCGCACATGACCCCACACAATTCAATGACTTCCAGAATCGTGATCTGATGAAATAGGAATCGAATCGTAATTCCTACATCACTGGAATCATTGTCCCCATCGATTGGGAATCGAGATTCCCAGAATTCAGGAATCGTTCACCCATCCCCTCGAGCATAGGATAGAAGTAATTTGCGAGAAAAGACTTAAAGTTTTCATAGATGATTGAGGGTAGACATAGTTGATACCATAGCTTCACCAAGATACCATAGATGACACCACAGCTTGCTTAAAAGACCAAGATGTTGCATTTTCCTCGAAATCCAAAGGCAGCAAGTGGCCATGAATTTCGATCACCATTTGAGTCATTTCCTTCCCCCCCGCCCCTCCTATTTTAGGGGTTTAAGTTCAAGCCCCACCAAATATACAATGAGACAACGAATGATAAGCATTTTACTTAGTACCGTAGATTATCACTAATAAGCATATTATTGATCACCAACCAAATATGCCCACATAATCCTTTACTTGTACCGAATGATCAATAACAAGCATATGGTTATTGCAAGCATCATATACAAACATCTTACCTTGACGTGGGGCTGCCACCCAAAAGTCTTACCTTGACGTGGGGCTGCGAACCAAAAGTCTTACCTTGACATGGGATTGTCACCTGCTTTATCATTTATAGATTGATAAATCTGTTGGGTAACTTGACTGAGATTATTGTTCATGGATTCATGTCAAAAGTTTATTAAAGCATTTTGGCTCTCACAGCATCACAGTCTTGAAACCCAAATCAAGGGTATTTAACCTTGTACAAAATTATTACATGATAGGAAAGGGTTCCTAGAACTCCTCCGGTAACATAGAATCGGGTCCTGAAGCTCCTTCCGCAACATACAGTTTTTAAACGTATTTGATGTTGAGTGAAACATTGTATAGTGCATCTAAGAACTATGCCTTTTGATGATGTGGTACTCGCTACCAAACAACATGGAATCGCGATTCCTAAAAAAATTGGAATCAACGTCTCACACATGTTGAATCGCATTGTTGTGCAACTATGAGTCGCAGATTCTGTGGTATGGAATCTAGATTCCAACCCTCTAAGAACCAAGATTTTTTTTTCGAGATTCAAATAATAATCTAGAACGCATTCCATGAAACTGGGAAACATGATCTTTATCTTCCAAATTCGTGTTTCATCCTGAGAACCGTAGAATCGAGACCTTGTTACGCGATTCATAAACTATATGTGAAAGCGATTGGAGCCGCAATAGAGGACATTTACTGCGTCAATTTTTAACTGACGAATCCTGTGTATCTCCTAAACTACTTGGAATTTGTCCACTAAATTTGGTGAAGATGATCTCTACGATGAAGCCTACAACACATCAAAATTTTATGGCTAAATATTTGTTTTAGACTCGCAGTGTACGGATTTGCTGCTCGGATTTGCAGCAGAAAAACCCGACTTCAACAAGTCATATCTCTCTCAATATTAACCCAAATAAGGAGAGACCTGGACCATTAGATTCATCTCTAAGCCCTCTATCAGCATACCAAATTTCATGGTCAAGCAGTTTCTCAGGTGAACGAAGCATTTGTCGGAGTGATACATGTCGAGGCTGGGTCACAAGGTTAACCAAAAGAGGCACAACATAACCGTTTTTCTGGAGTTTCTCACAGCTACAGTTATTCGAAACGAGTTTGTTTTCATTTCAAATTCAAAAACAGTTACGAATAGGGTCAAAGCATATCCACATCGAGCACTTTGAGGGAGACATTGAATTTAAATGATTGAGCCTTCTCTCTTCTAACCATTATGTGCGAGAAGGGGTTTG